GTTAGGACACATGCGCGCGATACCACCCTCCGTTAGCGAAAATGCGGTATCATTTTACTACCTCACCACTGCGTGTTTAAGGTCACGTCGGGATCTTCAAAGCTTTGCGTCGTGTTTGACGCTTCCTGCAAGTCCGATACCGGAGTGTCATTGAATGACCTACTAGAAGTGGGTCCGGTAATTCAACAAGATCTTGCATCAATGTTGATGCGTTTTCGCTATTTTCGTTACGTAATGTCGGCGGATATCGTCAAAATGTATAGACAAATTCTAGTGGACCAATCGCAAACAAGCTTGCAAAGAACCTTGTGGAGAGACAACCCCGAGGAGGAAGCCGTCACGCACGAATTATTGGCTGTAACCTACGGTACATCCGCAGCATCATTCCTCGCCACAAGGTGCCTCGCGCATTTGGCTGACCAGCACGGTTCTGAGTTCCCCCTCGGTGCTCTCCGCGTTAAGCGCGATTTCTACGTTGACGATCTGCTTACAAGAGCAGACTCGATTCAGGAGCTCGAGATAATACGTGACGAAGCAATACAACTCCTGAGGGCAGGCTTATTTGAACTCAGTAAATGGGCATCTAACTGTCATCAGCTGCTGGAACTATTACGCGAGCGCGGTGACGAATTCATAACCTTGAACAATGATAACTCTTCTATTTTAGGCATTAAATGGAATCAAGCGCAGGATACCTTCCATTTTTCTTGCGAATTGGATCCCGCTTGCAGCGCCAACACGAAACAGGCGATACTTTCAGAGACGGCCAGGTGTTTCGACCCCTTGGGACTCTTGGGTCCTACGACCGTCGCACAGTGGCGCGCCGGGTGATTTTTTTCATCAACAACGATTTCCTCAGCAACGGCTCGACCGATTTAGATCAAACAAAAACGAGCTTAAAGGGGACAAAATTACCAAAAAAACTATGCAGGCCGATTTTTAAATTTTTGCGCCATTTTTAATTATTATTTAAACAAAAGAATGGAATATTTCGTGAAACCGTTAATCTATTGAAGCATATCACTTTCTTTACATGTAAAACAGCTAAAATTTTCTACCCGGGGGTTTTCGAGGTCACTGATTACGAATCTGATCTTAGATTATTAAAATTCAAAATGGCGGATCCAAAATGGTCGACCGAAATGTAAAAAGTTAATTGATCGAGATGAAACTGGGCACTCGTACCATTACTAATTACATATAATTTTCATACATATCAAAGGATGAAGTGTTGTTATAATAAAATTACCATCGACATTAGCATTACCCGATATGCACCGCGGGGAGGTTGACGAATGGATTTTGCATATCATGTCGCCATTAGGCGGGATCTATTTCTGTGTAACATAATTTGATTAATTTTATTAAGATTTTTATGTTACTTCGATATATATATACATACATATATACATATATACATTTATACATTCGATATACATTATATTTACATATGTGTACTTTTTACTCTTTACAGTAATGACCAGCATTTTGCATGTAATATATACATTTCGGTTACTTATTTTTACAAGTTGCCATCATCCAGTAATTCGAGACATTCAGGATGTAAGTCTTGTTTAACAGTCTTTGACAGATTTCTTTTAGTAGCAGTATACGGATCGGACGATACAAGAAGTTTTCTAATTAAATCTACATTTGTACTTTCACGCGAACACTTTCGGGAATGGTTTAATCGGAATCTCTTAAAATGTTTATTTCGCGCTTCCGATGCCTCTTCTGAGTATGCACCAATGGGAAGGTGAAAATTTTTCATTATTGTACAACCATGAAACAGGATTTTATGTACAGTTACTGGCATTGGAAACCACGGGTACAATGCTACATACTGCTTAGCTGTCTCATGGAGGTAAACCGAAAATTTTTCGTAGTTAACAGGTTGACAACAACAAAGCGTTTGCAAAATAATGCTAAATCTCGTAATAAGTGTTTCGTCAACTCGCAGTATTTGCGAAATACATTGAGGATCTTGAAAGAATCTACGTGCCGTGTTACCGTCATTTGAATTCCCCGACCCTTGCTTTGGGGCGTCTACAATAAGGTTCAATTTTTATTTTAGTTGCTGAAATATACGTTTTTTCTGAACTTTAATTAATTCAGTATGTTCCTCTTAGAGCAGACTCTCCACTTACAAAAATCAAGGCGATAGGCAATGTGTAAAAGACATTCCATAAATCTGATCAATGCGTGCAGGGATGACAAACCGAATCTCGTACAATGTAAATTTTCTGGTCTATTTTTTAAGCTTTCTATATTATTCATATCGATCGGATTTGCACCGCATATGTAGCACGTTACTGAAGCTTTAGTATCTGTCAGTGCTTGACAGACTTTCCCATCAACCATTGTCAACTCAAAGTCAGTTACTATTGTAATTTCTCGTTCATTTAACTTAATTACCGTAGATTGCAGTTTTGCGATATCAGAATTTATTTCATCAACTTCGGCCACGATTCTTTCTTTATTTTCTTTGCAGAACTCAAATTTTATGGGTCGACAATAAACTGTTGATGATGGTGAAGGATTTTGCCATACAATCAGATTTTTGTCTTTTTCGTCGGTCATCAACAATGGGACGAAGGTAATGGTGAAAACGCTCTCATCCGAGAGTTCAGGATTCTCAAAATTCTGTTTGTATATGCTTTGCCCGGATGAGCCGTCACAACCCCATTTTACAAGAAGCCTGAATTTGTCACTGTTATTGAGAGTATCAACAGGTAAGTTTTCAGTTATCAAGATTCTACTGATAGTGTGATCGACAAGGGATTGCAAATTTACTTTGGCACACACGTCTGACACATGAATGTCAGATGGGATGCATGCTTCCCTTGCATTTACTAACTGCCTGTACGATGGATATATTATTACATTTTTTGCTAAAGCTTGTTTTCGTAAAATTGTATACTGGTGCTTCGTTAAATCAGTGTCTTCGGCGAAAGCAACGATTTCTTCGTTACTATAAGGCACTTGTTCCTGTATTTTCAGATATGAACGAAGGCAACTCTCAATATCGTCGGAATCAGCATTAAGCATATATTCAATGGCATTAGCTACTTCCTTCCTACCATTCCGCCTCAACATAAAAAGAAAAGTTTCTTGCAATTGAACTGCTGAATATGTTTCCAGAAGAGATGTCATTTTCCTTCTTTTCGTTGCGTCTGAAGAATATTCGAATTCGGAAGATCTTGTCCGTCTACCTCTTTCACCGATATCAATAGTCGGATCACGAATAGTCACTGTCAATGATTTTTTCAACCAATTCACGTGTACGTGATCAAACCTACTTTTGGAGAAAAACACATTTTTTAATTTTTTCTTCACATTTGTAATAAATCCGTTTATATTTAATGTGTTTGAAATAGCATTCACTTGATCGTCATTTAAAGCGTGAATTTCTTTCAACTTTACCATCAAATCACTTAGGTTTTGACATTTATTGTCAATGAAAATATCGCAGAGCGATTGATTTGTGACAGTAAATGTTTCCATATCAGCTACAAAAAATTTATTACTTTATATTAAGAACATGAAAAATATTTTTCCATACGTTCAGAAATAAGAATAATATCGTTTGTAAGGAGAACTAAATAATCTTCTACGTATATACTAAACGGAATTTCATTTCTATAACGGGAGCATGAAATTACATCAAATTGCATGAGCGCGCTTATCGGCGAAGAGCTAAGTCAGAGTTGACACCATCCACGAGTGTAGGCGCTCTTCGCCGATAGGCGCGCTCACGCAATTTGATGCTTTTTACATCTCGGTCGACCATTTTGGATCCGCCATTTTGAATTTTGAAAATCTAAGATCAGATTCGTAATCAGC